TCAACTGTCTCCCTTGCAGCACTGCAAGTGCGCTGCAAGAATATTGATACTCTGGCGAGGACAACATCTGCTTTAAAATCTAACAACCCCACTGCGAGGGTGGGGAATAACGCTAGTAGTGATAGTTGCATGAAACATGAAATGGAAACACAGTGATTAAGCAGGGCTTCTGCTAGCGAAAAATGGAGAAGCAAGTGGCAACGAACATGAGCAACGACGTGGAAGCTGGGTTGAAGAAGTGAAGCCCAGGGCTCAGAGGTTTTAAAGAAAATCAAACGGAGAAATCACATGGAAAAGAAATGCAGCCTGGGGACAAGGGGCTGTTTAGGACTTGTATATTGTCCTACTCATGCCCAGTTGAAAATTGAGGAATGGGTCCCGTCAGTAGTCCCAATACATCCCATCCTTCTCCTCGTAGCCCATTCCACAGGTCCCAACGAAGCATGAGTAAACTGTTCGACACGATTCGTCTAACACGTCCTGCTACTGTGCCTGAGCCATCATGTTCGACTTCTATCCTACTCTTCCTGATGCTGCTCTGCGTGACCATTGCTGTCGTTCCCACGTGCAGAATGATTGCCCACCCCAGTGGATGCTGTGCAGATGGAATCCATGAGTGCTTATCATCACGTTCGGTCCATTACACTGGCTCATTCAGCCGGCCAAGTTGTAGGCGTTTCAGAGAATGAGGTTCGCTTCGGGGAGGATTCTGATATTTTGGCTCATCCAAGGGCACCCCTGATTTGGAGCTTTGTAGAACGAGCGAAGACTTGTTCAATCACAGTGCTCTGCAAAGCGCTTGAAACTCAGGGCATTTCTTTGCTCTTAAGGGCTGCTGAGTGTCTAGTGGCTTGAAGTTTCACAGGGCTGCAACTCCTGACTACGCCTTAAACCCGTTAACCGTAAACTTCTAAGCCTGAGTCCCTCAACTGTACCCCAAATTCCCTACGACTTACATCCCTTGAACCCTTCATCCCTAAACCTAAGCCCTGGCAATCACAGGCTGAGGCATGGACTTCGCTCTGAAGGATATAGAGGCTACTGGAGTGCCGAGTCTCGTACAGCGCGGAGCGCCTGGATTTACAGCAAACCATGGGGTTTAGGGTTTGAAGCTTGCAGTTGTTCCCTGGTGCTGGTATCTTCTTCTTGTTGTTGTTGTTGTTCGCAGTTCTACAGTACGACTTTAGGTGTTTTCAAAATGTTACCATCGACTACTACATATTGCTGCGGTATTCTGCCACGTATTTTTCAAGTGGATACTGTACCATTTCCCTGCAGTTGTCGTTAGAATCCCAGCTTCTTGTGCAACTGCCACAGCTAGCACTACTGTTGCTATGATGACTGCAGCACCAGAAATATTCCTTCTAGGAAGGTCCAACGTCTCATGGCACTGGCTGCATGATACCTATACATCCTTACGTGTTGAGGGTTTGGGGATACCATCATGAAGAATCAAAAGGACAAGAACATGGAAACTGAAATGCAAACTGGAGTTCGACAGGGCTTCTACAGCCTCCCGACGCAGTAATTTTGCGGGATGTATTGTGTCATAGGGAACGCAAAAGATATTTGCTGAGGCATGCCACCTGTTGTAGAAGCCTCCTGGTCCTTCTCACAAGCTCAAGACAGGCCAGCTGTCAGAAGGACTTTCAAGACTCTGCCCGAAACTTTGAAGAGATTGTTTTCGATTTGATTTATTCTTCAAATTGGTGCAGCCTCTTGCCAAACTCCCACCCCGCGAAGCATCGTTTGTGAGCATCTAAGCACAAGCCTACAATGTTACGAGAAACAATAAGCCAAACAAAGTGCCCTCCCCAAAACTTTGGCGACATCCACGTCTCACAGCTCCGCAGCCCCAACTACCTTCACGACGGCATTACAAGACTGCTTGTGAGACTATAGTCCCCCTTACGTAGATAGAATATGGCTTTAGGCTTTAGGAATATTATGATAAGATCCCCATATACCCCTTAAGGCGGGACTATAGAACTTCCTGGGCATGCTGGGTTCCAAGCTTCATGATGTCACTGATAATCTCGGACTCTGGGGTAGCCCTGACTTGCCACGTGCCAGCCACAAACATGCCAAGCACGCAACAATCCTGAGGTGCGCACCCGAGACAGCTCTTGAGTACCTATGCTGCATGCTGCCTGTAGCTACTGGTACCCTACTCACGTTTTAAGACCCTTGATGCTAAACAGGACAGGGCCAAAAGAAGGCCTGGGTAAATCCTTCCGCATCGAGTCGAACATGGGGTGGTGCGACTTCGCTCCAGGCGTCCTTACTAAGCTCTCCTAAATCCATTTTTTTTGGAGCTGCAAGTAAACACCATGCTCTGCCTTGCCTTGCAATGCTGCTTGATCATCTGAAACTCCTCTTTGCAGGCCCATTTGCGAATGCACGGACTGCTGCACGCTTCAGGGGCTCCTCCTCATCGTCCGCTTTGTCCGTGCCGCTCCTTCCTGTGCGGCTCAGTTATCATAACAGATTCTCCCAGCGCGTCGCTTTGTGGACTTCAACCCCAACGCAAGCGCAACACCTCGCCGAAAGGGGGCACGGCCCTGCGGTCGAGGATCTTGTAGCCACCTCGCGTTGCGGAATAGCGGATGCAGCTAACCAGTGAAAGTGCAACACGTCAAGAGCTGCTGCTCACACATTCGACGTGCTTCGAGGAAGCGGAATCCATGCAACTAGCAATTGAACACGGTGGTACAGTACCACGCATATGCCATGGTTCATAGCAAGCGGCGGTGCGCAACTACATGTCTGAGCCCATGTCGTACTTAACTGTACCAAAGATCATGAGCAGGCCGATGCCTCTCGAAAAGCTTGGCCGGTATCTCTGAGACCGGAATCCTCACAGCGAAGACAGCATTCTGGGACCGCCCAACTATCCAAAACAATATATCCTCTAAGGCCCAAACTAGAAGATGCTAAGGCTGCATTTTTGGAAGTCTAATTTGGTGTTGAATTATCTCCAGACCTGTCCTGCAAAGGCTCTGCTCCAAGTTCTGGCCGCTAAGTATATCCATCATCCAGTCAGCTGGATTCCAATCTGCTGGCATCTCGAGGCCTGAAACATCAAGAGAACATGGCTGCTTTGGAGGTTCATCAAAATGGAGGATAGCCTAGGTACCACAAGGATGTCTTTATATATATATATACACACACATTAAAATGTATAGAAGGAATTATGACAATTTAGTTAGGCCTGTTCAGAAACTGCCAGATGTCAGGCTGCAGGGCCGCCAAGCCCAAAGGGCAGGGAAGTATATATTTATGTACATACATATACACATATATATACATGTATTATGCGACATTGAGGCTCTGTATAATGGCTTTCACAACCTAACATGAGCACAGGCATAGGAATCCACACAACCAACCGGTATCCAGCGCACGTACTTCCAGCCAGTATGTGGTTACTCTTTGACAGTCCTCCTATTCAACATTGGTCTTAATTTACGGTATTTTCTACCAGAGTTGTATGAGAATTGCAACGACATGCTGTTGGTAAATATTAAAGCTTCTACATTAACAGCTCAAAGCGATGGCCCGTGCCTAGTTCTTGGAAGTGCGACTTTGCCTGCACGGTTGGCCTCCAGTGATGTTCGAAGGGCACCATTTGCAAGCTAAAGTTCCCATACTTCCTGGTTCAGTAGGGCATTAGGAAATATAAACCCTATGTACTATCTTCCCTTATTCCCTATGAACTCTCAGTAAGATGGGCGGCTCAGCATGAGGTGAATTCAAGGTCCATGCCCCATGTAGGCAAGTCGGCCGCCCATTTTCTCAAGAGTGCCCAGCCTCGGCAAGCACAAGAGTTATATTGGGGATTACATTGGGGGTTCTATTGTTTTTTTTTTAATGGAGGCTTTACAGGAGTTATATAAGGTTATATAGTGCTATTAGGGGTTAAATGCTGCAAATGCTGAATGCCGCGCCGCCTCCATTGCTGAGATCAGAGCAGCAGAACATCATCCAATAAGGTGAACAGGTCATAGCGCCTCCAGTCATGTTTAGGGTTTAGGGTTTTAGGGTTTAGGGTTTAGGGTTTGCAGGTTTCCCTAGATTAGGGGTACCTTTAAGCATTAGGGTATTTTGGGGTCGGGGTCTATATGCGAATTTCTCAATGTGTTGCAAGTATCATTTTGGGGTCCCATAATCAGGATTACAGTATTTGGGGGTCTATATTGGGGTCTCCCTATTCAGGGAAACAGCCAATGCCCTATAAACCCTTACATAAGCCAGCTTCTATTCCATTTTCCATTTTCTGTTCCATTTGATTCTCCAACATTGGGTATAGATCCCTAAAGCCTATAATATATAATCCCGATAAAGTATAATCCCTATATGTATAGGGAAATCTCGATATTACCGGCCGGAGATGTTCAGCCCTGAACCCTAAACCCTAAACTCTAAACCCTAAAGCCCTCAAACCCTAAACCCTTAAACCCTTAAACCCTACACCCCTAAATCCTAAACCCGAAACCCTCAAACCCTCAAACCCTAAAACCCTAAAACCCTAAAACTCTAAACCCCTAAATCCTAAACCCCCAAACCCCAAAATCCTTAAATCCTAAACCCTTAAGCCCCGTTTCAGAGCCGAGCTCCGGACGGCTGATGAATCACCATGACGATGGTGACCCCGAGCCGAGCCCTCAGGAGCCAATCGATTGGGGTAATATTGGGGTTTTAGGGTTTTAGGGTTTAGGGTTTGAGGGTTTTAGGGTTTAGGGTTTAGGGTTTGAGGGTTTAGGGGTTTAGGGGGGTTCATCCCCAATAACCGGGGCCAAAACAGTTTAAACTTTATTACAGAGACCCAAAAAGGAAGCCCAAAAAGTTTCAAGCTCTCCTATTGACTACATAAGTATTGGGTGTTAGGGTTTAGGGATGATGGAAAATAAAATGGAAACTGCTATAGTGTAATGGGGATTCTATACGGGGCTATATTGGGATAATGGGGAATAAAATGGAAACTACTAGAATATAGTGGGGATTCTATAGGGGGCTATACTGGGATAATGGAGAATAAAATGGAAACTACGGTTTGGCGTTTAGGGTTTAAGGCTTATATAGGGGTTTAACGGACTTTTGGCCTGTTCAATATGGTGGTTTCCCAAAATTAGGGGTACCTTTTATAAGGCAGGATTCTCGGGTTTTGGGATCCATATTGGGGTCCCCATATTTGGGAAACTACCATATGCTTGCCAGTTAGCTTCAGCAAGCTTTACAAGTACGTCCTCCTGATCCTTGTGCATGCTGGTTAAACCCTAAACCCTAACCCCTAAACCCTACACCCTAACCCCTAAACCCTAACCCCTAAACCCTAAACCCCGTTTGCAGGGGTCCCGGCATCCTTCTTAGCTGTTGGACCAGCAGCAAAGAAGCAGTTGCGTCCTGAAGCTTCGGCTTGACGCTTGGTTTAGGGTTCAGGGTTTTCATGACACATAAAGCATGTAGGAATTTTTGGCTGCGCATGTCTTCATACGCAGCGAACTGACTCTGATAGCATGGGCACTCAGGGGTTGATAGCACGCTGCGCTGCTTTCATTCATACAGGGGGCATCAATATAGACCCTGACAGGATATAACCATTATTAAGGGGACCCCAAGTGGGTACCCATCATTTTGGGAGACCCCCTATAAGGATTTTAAATGCAGGAAGCAAGGAATGATAAGAGCGCGTCCAAGCCAGAAGTGGGCTCGTCCAAGAACTTGGCAGCACGTGAGAGGTTTAGGGTTAGGGTTTAAGGTTTTAGGGTTAGGGTTTAGGGGTTTAAGGGCTAGGGGTTTAGGGCTTAGGGTTTTTGGGTTTAAGGCTTAGCGAGCATATCTGCGTTCACGACTTCTGTGAGCTTCCGACCAGAATCGTTGGACACGCAGCCAGCTCTATGCCCACGTTGACACGTTTCTTCCTCGGCATCACCACCCAAGCAACTTCTCTAGGGTAGGTCTAGGAGCCTATAAAATTTGAAATTTGTATGGCTATATAAGGCTTATAGGATAGGAATTATGGGTAACAACAATTTGAAATTATTTTCAACCTACCCCTGTTCTGAAGGGGGCCGGCATGGTCATTTTTCTGGAAATGCGAAAGTCTAAGGGAGAGGCTGGCCTCCGCTCAAGCCCTCGCCCGTCCGAGTCCGGTTCCCCACCTACAGCGCCGTTACTATCTCTATTGCTATTACCATTACTATGACTATTTCGATTACTGTTACCACTACTACGGATTTTAGGGTTTAAGGTCACCAGTGCGACCAACTCGCAGATTGCCACGGGTCCAGTTCACAGATTCTTGACCTAAGATGGTGGCGAGCAAGTTCTGCTTCGGCTCCAGCTGTAACACCTGGCTTCACAGTGGTGTCTTGTGGCTGAGGAGTTGCATATGGGCGCCTGTAGCACATCGTTTGTAATGGCCCGCAGCCTCCGGCATCAAGCTTTCGGCTGTGTCACTGCGTGTAGCTATAGTACTATAGCTCATCCTTGACCAGCACTGCCAGCTCATTGCTTATAAGGATTTCCATGCAACACAGCGCTTGTTGGCAATGATATTGGAGTCTCCAGCCTGATTTGGGAATTTTCCTTAAGTAGGGGTACCGTTTTTGGTGTTCCTAACCCTAAACCCTACACCCTATGAAAAGGATTATCATCTTTTGGGGGCAAGCATGTACTCCACAGCGGTGCCTTGAGTTCGAGGTTGTCGCAGGCATACGTTTGGCCGCAGAGAAAAAGATGTTCTCGCGGACCGTCAGCCTCAGAGTGCGGCTGGATCTTTCGCTTTGATTACAGTATATTAGAGTATATTATAGCATATTACAGTATATTAGCGTTATATTGATAATGGAAATAGTGGACACTTTTATGCATGTTATTGGCTTTGGCTTATTTCAGGCTGGCCGTCTCTTGGTCGATTGCAATACGTTCATGTAATTGCCAACCGTCTACATGCAGGAAGACCGATATCTCCTGATGCGGAGAACAGAGACCACTAGAGAGAGACCATTATCCTGAACGACCAAGGAGCGACTGGGTTGCTCTCACTTAAGTTCCTATAATGGGGAAGCCAGATTAACTATTACTATGTATACCCATTATGGTAATCTAATTTACGTTCCTTAACAGCAGCCCAGACGATTCAGGTCTTACTTTTCGCTTGGGTCTGCACCCTTCGTGCACCACATCATCCTCACCGAGCCAGGGAGAGAAGCAGGATTGCAGTGGGCATGGGGCATTAGGAGGGACCCTTGCTGAGGATTTTTGTGAATGGTGGGGGCGTGGGTAACCTGGGGATACTCATGAGAGGGCTGTATCCGGAACTCGGATTAGGGGTCCCTCCAATAAAGCCCGAAAGGATGCCATTTATTACCAGGCCTGGAATAGCATTACCTGCGCCATCTAGGTATTCTAGAGGCTAGCGGCCGAATTAACTAGAATAGGGCTTTGGAATGAAACATCATAGAGTTATTCGAGGATTCTTGCGGAATATTGGCAATCTCCAGGAGCACCCGAGAGCTGTGCGCAACGGGATGTTGTAGGTTCCACTTGTGCAAAATCCACACATCAAGACCCCAAAATACATGAGCTATAGTCTAAACTCCAAGCATCCCCCTTACGGAAACCCCTCTAAGGAGCTTAGACTATAGCTCACATGAGTTTCTTGCTAGTTGCTTTCCCCCTCCTGCGGGACAAAGCCGATGATGGGCTTGATTGACTCGATGTCAATCTTCTGATTATTGATGAGAATGTCACCTGCTTCGTGTTGTATCCAGGCAGGGTATAAGGGGGGTTATATGAGGGTTGTAATGTCATGGAGCGTCAATGGAAAGCAGGTTTCTCCTGACCTAGATTGCAACATGCAGAAGAAACCACAACTACTGTTGCATTTATGTAGCATGTATATGGGTACAAGAATGGAAGCTGGCATATGACATAGTAGTTTTCACGTCCCACTCCGTTATCCATGGACCAGAAATCAGCAGAAGCTCATGTCGGCAAGATCTCTACATATACATATATATATATATGTATATGTTCATTCCCATTCCCATCTTCCCTACTAAACCCAATTATGATATAGTAATTTCCTTTTTCTTTTTCACCATCATCGATTATCCCTATATGACCCCAATATCTTTCCTTGTTTCCAAAAACCCCGAGGCATTCTTAGGAGCGGGCCTTTGACTGTCCATTTTGAGTCGGTCTTCTTCTGCGAAACAGCCAAGCGCTTGACGTCTTGCAAGCACAGTGTGTGCGCACCATAAACCGTACACCCTAAACCCTAAACCATTCTATTCCATGACCCAAGGAACCCTAGGCCTCTACAATTCGTATGCAGCAAGGTTTCGGTACGGGGAATTAGTGGTACGGCTTGGGTTAAGTTCCCCCATATTTGTACTTATAGGAGCCTTTGGGCGACATCCCAGGTGCTACATGCAGCATGTACGTATCATGGACCCACCCATTCAGCTACCTGAGACATGCAACACACTAAGAACAAACAAGTCATGTTTACCAAGCGCGATGGGCATTTCTCTAGAGGGGTTACCATCAACCTCCCCACCCCTTTCGACCAAGAAAATACAAGATATCTAGATATCTACTGAACTCATAGGAGGATTCTGGCAACCGCCACGCCCCAATGGTTAAGAGAAGACCCAGGTCCCCAATATGGACCCTAACATACTATGGTCCTCATCATGGGGACCCCCAAAATCAAAGGGCTCAAAAGGTGGGATGAAGGAAGATGGGGAATAGAAAATGAGCCCCAAAAAAGTAGAGTATTAACTAAGGATCCTTCAACCCACCTACCTTCATCCCACCTTTTGAGCCCCCTGAACCCTATAACCCCAAACCCTAAATAGTGGCTTCCATTTTCTTTTCCATCAGCCCTATATAAGCCCAATATAGTACCCTAAACCCTATAGCCCTAAACCCAAATGTCAAACAGGGAACCTTGCCGGTCAAGACGTCAAGCAAGGTGCTCTTTCCGCAGCCAGACGGACCTGAATTATCAGCCATCTTACTGGGGGTATATAGGGTGATACAGGGATATTCTTTGTGTTATACAGGGATGTAACCCCAATGATGAAGAGTCACATGAAAAAGCAAAGGAAAATGTAATTGAAACTGGCGTTTGTAGGGATATATAGGCTTTGGGGTCTTGCCTTGCTGTGAGTAGGGAATTCAGCAATGGACACGAACGTGGGAACTAGTCTGTTGTTGGGCATTCTGTTAGGGAAGCTATGGGCATCCATTCCTCCAACCCCTGGTCAGTAAGCTGGTTGAAGTCTGGAGTAATGAAGACTAGGAAGGGCAAACTTCAGTTTTCATGGTCAAGGTTAGCAACTCAAATATTATACTTGACTAAGGCCGCTTCCGTGTGGGGCATTACCTGCTTGGTATGCTTGCATGATGCTTGTATAAGTGGCTTACATGGGGAGCCGAGGAGCATAGTATATACGGGATATGTAAAGCTCGTATGGAAGAATGGACAACGTGAAAAATCCTCAAAATCATGACCAACACCTCCCGATTGGGGCTAGAGGAGATGTAGGGTCCCTTATAGTGGGATTTGGTGGGTACATAGGCTTGACTAGAGTGTAGCTGGAGGGTCTGAATCCCTAAGCCCCGAGCCCGAAACCTTAACCCTAAATAGTAGCCTCCATGTTCTTTTCCATTATCCCTATATAACTTAGAACCCCTATATAGCCCTTGGGGATCATAGAGTAGCTTCTTGCTCCGAGTGGCCCATGATGGCTGAGAGGCGACCAGCCTCAAAGGTGCCGGTGATCTCATCCAGGATGTTCCTTTCCTCGCTGCCCTCGGCTCAGGGTTTACACTTTCGAGTGGTTGGTAGAAGAAGAAGGCATGGGATACAATGGGGACATTGGGGACAGTTACAGGAGATGATATAAGGACGGCAGGGATCCACTCCTCTTCTGTAGTATAAGGCACCCAGATCGCATCCATTTTCAAATCTTGCGTGACCATGAGCACCGGAGACTCGAAACCCCAGCAACCTGTGACTTTTCTTGTGATTTACCACAGATATCCATGGGGTCGGGCAAGAATCGGGAGATCACCAATGACGCGCAGTAAAGCATGTCAAACTCAGCAAGCTGGGATTTCGACAGACAGAACGCTGCAAGAGATGTTGCTGAACTCCTCACAGGGATTCCATGCTGCGGCTGTCAGTGAGGCGCACGACTCTCTTCTGTGCGTCAGTCCAGAGACGCCGTGTGCAGCTTGCGGGTGATACCTTGGCATTAAACAATGTGGACTTGTCAGAAAGCCTTGTTCAACTCCGTCCCTGGGATGTGGTCATGAAGCTGCATGAATCCAGGCCCTGGTCTCCTACCGCCTCATGCAGATATGTCATTCCCACCAAGCAGGGGGCGGGACGCATGGGGGTCAAACAAGGCGGCAACCAACAACTTCGGGTAGTGGGAAGGCTGTGAAGGCCAGGCCTTCATGATTTTTTCTTTGGTCTTCTGCATTAATGGCAAGATCTGCCCGTAATCTTTGCATGAACGTTGCCACAAACCCACATTCCGCTACTTTGCTTTTGCAGACGCCGTGCAGGCGTATATCATTCCCCCTGTTGGACATGATACGAAATCCGCCAAGATCAGGTATTGCTAATTCCATGGGGACAAACTTCCGTGAGTCGTCGCAGGTATGTTGGCATATGATTTCTGACTGACAGAAAGGTACAACAGAAGTGTTTGAACTGGTCTGCCTGTCTGCTGACAACTGTCTTCACCGCTTTGCTTTTAGAAGCGCCAATTCTCCTCCTTCTTCTTCTTCTTCATTCTTCTGCTGTAGGCACGCGGACTTAGTGCATCTGCTGCGATGCGCCGGATTAGCGGCATCTCTGATGCTAACACACGCAGGCACAGAGATTCATAATATAACCCCCAATATAACCCGTGTATAAGATAGTAGTTTCCATTCTCTTTTCCATTAGCCCATCGTATAACCCCAATATCGCCCAAATATTATCAGCAAAAGAACGCGCAGCCTTGACGGATAAGTGTTTCTATCCGTCAGCATAGGATCTCACGAAAGCAATATGCAAATTTACGTCCAAGCTGCATATTCCCTCCGTCACTGTAATCTTTGGTCAGCCTTGAATCCCAGACCCTAAATCCCTGATGGAACCCCAATTCCAAACCCAAAGCCTACACAACTGCCCGACTGCAGTTAAAGGGACCTCGGAACTTGTTATCCTCCAGGTGCTGGATGCTGAAGTTTTTAAGGATCTCCTTGAGGCACCTCAGCTGGCATTCAGTCACAAAGAGTATTTCTCAAGCATGTCCTCCTCAAGCTGGACCTTGTAGCAGTTATGCGATCGCTGTCGATCCCTTCTGTTGTGGGGCTTTCGGCTACGAACTCGACCACCTGTTCCCGATGCAACAGCTACCCCGAAGTCACATGAGATGAAGAAAGGGCTTGAGGCAGTAGCTTGTCAGTTGTCTTGATCCGCTCCAGATCCTGCTCCTTTGCAGACGGCGGGCTCTCACGAAGCACTCCAGAAGGGCAAGGGTTTAATAATTTTGCCCCCCCCCCGTTATCTACTGGCAAATTAAAAATGAGCTGGGAATGTATTGAAATGGGGAGGTTGATCCTCAGGAGTGTATCAATCTGGCTGATGTCATCATCGAATGCTCTGACATCTTTTGCACAGTGCAGATGCTTGAAGGTCTCAGGTGCTTGCTGCCACTTTGTCCCTGTTTCGGGTGAACTTCTGGTACAGGAAGACACCAAAGACCAGAAGTGCCTCGACTGGCAAACGGAGAAACACGATTAAAGCCTTGATTTTCGTCAAACTCAAATGGGAAGTGGAAGCTACTGTATGGCAGAATGCTTGCCATCTTCTCTTCCGTTCAAAGGGGCCAACAAGACATAAACTCCTGATGTTTTGCAGTTTCTAAAGCAAGTTGAAAGTGCAGTGCCCAAGAGTAGTCTCCACTTCCTTTGCCATTAGCAATGAAGCAGCGCTCGAAATTGCATTCTGCAAGCAGGTCACAGAAAGCAGCAGCATTGTGATCATTGCAACTTCGCTCGAGCGTGCAACGGTTCGTCGACGAGGATGGTCACCTGAAGAAGAGAGCTTGGAAGCTAAGAAGATCTAAAAAAGGGAGGGGCCAAGTGAAAGGGTGGGGTGGTCTTTCCTTGTTAGGTTCTATTCTCCTAGAAATATCATGGCTCAGCTTAGACTATCCCTACAGGCTCCTTCCTACTATTGGATGAAGGAACCAACATCTCGACTGAGCATAGGAGGCACTGATGTCTGCAGATCTCCAAGATTTTACCAGCAGCATTCGAGACGATTGCGCTGCCCGCAAGGGGCACGAGCAGTGTGATGAGATTCACATGACTGATGAGCTGTCTTGCTGCCTCAAACAAAGCGTGCCATGTCATCCACATGTTGGACAGTGGGATGCGAGCGTGATTTCCCGTTGGACGCACTGCCCCACAGCCCGGACTCAAGTCACGAAAATTTCGACCTCCCAAAGACCTCCGTGCTGAGCTAGAGATGGGGGAATGCGTGATAAGGAGTACAATGAGGATTGCATTCCGCTAGTCTAGGGATTCCTTCCCTTATTTCCTGCTAAACATCCCAATGTTTCACCATAAACCCCGGACTTGTTGCTTTCTTCCCAGGCGCTTGTGTCTGTTTGACAGCGTGCCAAGACCAGCGCTGCGTACAAGACAAGCCCTGGAAGCCATGCCAGCCTCCACGAGCGGGTTTCTAGAAATACACGATTCAGGGTTTAGGGGAAAAAGGCTTAGTTAAGGGTTTGGTTTAACGGTTTAGGAATTTATGGGTTCGGTTTAAGAGTGTAAGGTGCCTTTTTAACTGGCCCCTACCGTAGTCTACGAGTAATTAAGGCCGAGGACCATGTTTACAATTGCCTACATGGCGCCAGGAGAGACCTCTGTGTCCAAACTTTACTGAAATTAAGTGACCGTTCGCACTGCAGATGGAATTCAAACCCTAAACGCCTTAATTATCAGGAAGCGCGAGTGAACCTTGACCGCAACGTCGCCATTGCAATCACGACCATCAGGGCTGTTGGAAGGTACGCCCTTCCAAACCTATAGGATTGGTTGTATTGACAGCATACTTGGAGCTCGAGCCGACGCAAGGAGTGCGCACGCAACATGACTATTACTTGTTTGCTATATATTATATGGCTATCATGATCACTCTTGTCCGTCTTGCTGTAATCCTACTGTTGTTGCTAGATTGCTATTTTACTATAATACTCGGATACTACCATTCCTGCTACTAGTAATATACGACTACTATGACTATTGAGTTATCTTCATCCTTTGAGCTCAAGATTGTTGTAGGAGCTTTGCCTCTGGCATGGAGGAAAGCCACAGCCTCCAGCCTGCATCAGCAAACCAGCCGGGAAGCATCCACTGGGGTTCGGGTTTAGGTTTAGGTTTCACAGTGGTACCTCACACAAACTTAGAGCCCTGATGTAAAAAGGGTGCGAGCTGGGTTTCCAGCTTATCTGCGAGAGGGATGGCGAGAGTAGGTTCTAGGGCAGCTCCTCACAACGACAGCCGCAAAAACGTGAGCCCAAGAACCTTAACTCCAAGCCAGAACCTCCCCTCAATGGTATATTAAGGACTGCAGCATAATCGGCCCCATCTCCATACCCTCAGTACCATCTCAAGCGTAGTTTCCATCTTATTTCCCATTATCCCAATATAACCCCAATATAACCCTAATATTACCCATGGGTAAACCCCAAAACCCTGAACCCTTAGAGCTTATCTCCTGGCTACCAAGCAAGGTTTGGTTCCAAGTCCGGCGCAGCTGTTTGAAAAAGTCACGGATCTCCTGAATTCGGAGGGTTCAGGGTTTAGGAGGACTTCTCACGGGGAACGGTGGGATTGCAAAGAAGTGTAGAGGGCTCTTGAAGGAAACATGGGTGATCTTCATAGTATGTAGTGAAATGGGATTTGGGGGGGTTCAGCAGAATCATGGGTAGCTCCTAGCACTGCGGCTTAGGAATTCGGGCTTAGGGGTTTAGGATTCACTACATGGGTGTCCTCCTATGTACCCCTAACGCATATCATGTACTCCTTATCGGAACGGCTTCGGACGAGGCCTCCTAATCTCCCAAGCCCTGCAGCTTTGACTTGCCAACACGCATCCCCACCATCCCTTCCCAAATCCCTTACTATTAAGGATTAACTAAATTTCAAAAGTAGGTAAAACAATGGCCCAAAACCCTTAAAAATAGACCAAACGGCAATTATTCTACATAAATTTGGTGTTAAGGTAGAGAAACCGTACATCCCGATCCCCCCTCAAAATTGTGGGCCTCCCACCACTCACCACTCCTGCCCTCTATTCCCATCTACCTTGGGTACTACCCTCACCCAGTAACAGTCTATGTTAGGGGTCCTATTAAAGGCTATATATAACCATATTACCATTTTTATCCAACTGCTACTGAGGGGGGGCAGTACCCAACATGTACCCTATGTAAGGAGTTTCACGAGATAGTGTCCCACTTGCATTTCCCAAGCAATTTTCCGGATTTTAGGGACCCCCAACTGGGACCCCTGATTTTCGGAACTATGCCCAAGTACTAAATACCCCAAATAAATAATCAGCCCCGTTAGCCAGGAAATTCTGAGCTCCAGGTACGCATATTACGAAATGCTGGCATCATGTGATAGTCATAGGAGCTATAGTCCAAACTCCTAGCATCCCCCTTGATAAACCCTACAGTACTCCCCTGTCCCCTATGTAGCCCCCGTTTAGGTTTTTTGACTATGGCTCATACCAAATATGATAATGATAGGATACCAAGTACAAGAGACTATATAGGATTCTCCCTCTCTAGGCTGAACTTGTCAAGACGAGCATCAGGAAGCGCGGGCGTCCGTGAGGCCCAGAACTCAGCCGCAAACAGGGGTTGATAATTCACTCCCCTGATAATGAATATGTCCTTTCACATTTT